GCTATGGAAACTGCTGTGCTCCGTTCCCGCAGAGAGCTATAGCAACACAGCTGCTCCGCACAACACAGCCGAGTATCGGACGCATTATCGATCGCGTCCTTTGTCGACTGCAGTTTCCATGGCAACACCGCACATCTCTGCCAGATGACTCAGTTAGTCGCTGAGGTCGCTGATACGGGGATTCAAAACTGCACCGATGGTTTAGCGTGCTCGGCTGATTTGATTGCCTTGGGTTACGTGCGTCCCCCCCCCCCGGTCTTTTCCCCGGTGCGAGCGACTTTAGCGAGTGTCATTTGAGCGAACGTCATTTGAGCGAACCATTTTCAGCGAATGGCAATTCAGCGATTATCAAGTTCAGCGATTATCAAATATAGCGATTATCAATTTTAGCGAACGCTATGTTTCAGCGACATCTATTTCGTCGACTACAATTTGAGCGACTGCCAGTTCAGCGAAACACTTCATCGTCCTGTAACGTTCTTTTTTTTTTGCGAGCGTATACGCGCGAATGTTTCCGGAATTTCTCATGGTTATCCGGAACTGGATGGCGAATGTCACGTCCAAAGACCTCAGACATTGAGCTCCAAATGTAATGCTACATTTCTAAACAATTCCAACGGTTCAATTTCACCCCCTGCTCTTTATAGAATTTAACAAATAGAATAGTTATATTAAGTTTTGTCCAGACGGTACCTACTCATAGGCGGCGGAAAGAAGGGGGTACCGGGGCACCGTGCCCCCTTGATTTTGGCATTTTAACATTAGCCCTATGGGCGTTGCATGGAGAGAATGAGACCAAAAGTCGGCGGTGCCCCCCTAAATTGAAGGTGTTCCGCCGCTACTGAACGGTAGCCAATCCATTGTATTTAATTTTGTCTTTACCTCTGGTGGATTACAAACTGTTAGGTGTTATCATGACGTATGATATAAAACAAAAATTTAAAAACGAAACGTTGCAAGATCAATGATTAAACGTTGCGAAATGAGGCCTTATATTTTTGTGGTTTCAGGTTTCCAACAAGCTTACTAGAACAAGATAACAGATTTTCAAGCTTTAAAACATTTTTTTTTGTCGCGCGCAGCTTGAAGCATGACAAACCAAACGGGTATTCAAAGGGCAAGAATTTCCGAAAAGTAGAAATGATTGACTTTCGTCGCGTTCGGTTTCGCTGTAACTGTATTCGCTCAATTGGTCTCCCATTGGCCACCACATATTCGCTCAATCTGGTTTCGCTGATTCTGGTCCTCGCTTACGTTGATAATCGCTGTGATTGAATTCGCCGACTTGACAATCGCTGAAAAAGTCAATCGCTTAAATTGATAATCGCTGAAAATGTTTCGCTCAAATGTCGTTCGCTGAAATGACGCTCGCTCAGGTGTCGCAGAACCTCTTTTCCCTCATACTTCTTTGGATGGGTTTCCCTGCAAATGATCATCAGACTGTTGGTGATCTTTTTCGCGGAAGATCACGTAATAAGGCATTATTAATCGTGTTTTCACTTATGAGGGCACTGACGTTTTTTTTTCGCCTTTTTTTTTCGCCGCTCCTACTTCAATTTCACCCAACCTTGGTGCTAGTGACCAACTCTCCGGGGAATGCAGTCTCCATACTCCCTGCCTTTATACAGACCCGCAACGCACGAGACTGCATCGACTCATAGAAGCGTATCCCCAGTATTTCGCCGCTTCGAGGATTCACCAAAGATGAAAAATTCCACGTTGCTCGAACAAGGGTAGGATCAGTGAAGCGATTTTATACAATTCCACATATAAATCAATCCCGATTCCGATAAGAGCCGGATCACGGATGTTGATTAAAGATGTTTGGAAAAGGGACAATATGGCTGCAAACTTCTCTAACACTAACGACATGTAACTTCAACTTCAGACTTTTTTTTATAAATTTAGTTCGAATGTTTGAATGGACGGATTGACAAGATCCGAAGCCCACGCTAAGCAGAGCTTGTTGCGTAGACCCCGACCCCTACCGTCCGATCGCGCCATTCCGGGTAACGGGAGAATTTAGATGCCAAAGTCTAACGTGCCCTTCAAAGCCGGACACGGCCTGTCCCACTCAACTGACTTCAACTGGCTGCGGCTGCTCCCACCAACCGCAGACCATCCCCGTCAGGACTAGGAGTCTCAAATATTGAGCGCCGGAGCGTCTCGAACCCGGGCTCTCACTACCGGGAGTCCGATACTCTACCAACTGAGCTACGGGACAGGCTCCCAGACAGGTACAGAAACGGGTTTGCAAGCTAGCTATTCGTTTGCTGAACTATTCAAATCTTCCAGCTGCAAGATAACCTCGTAAATGGTTAATTATTTACGAGTAAGTCTGCCAGAAGCGGTATCTTACCGCGGTAGCGGTACCTTTCTCCAACGCTATACATAGAAAAGGAAGAGTCCCTTCCTAGCGGCACCAATTTTTGGCTGACTAGAACTCGCGGTCCTTTTCACCACGGCAGTCTGTGACCAGCCGATCACTCCAGCCCTGCAGGCCTTTCCCTAACGTCGTCTATCCCTCCAGCATTGGCGTCAGTCAGCTGGTCGGCGAGCGATCGGATACCCACTGGTGCCTGTCCAGTGCCCTGTCACTATAACAAAATTACCGACCGAACTCGTGATGTTACCCCCGCCAGTCTGCTTCGGCTCACTTCCTGGCACGCTCGACCAGTCTGCCCTCGTTTTCTGAATTATTTGATGTCGCGTAATTACGGTGTCCGGTGAAGTTTATCCAACCGACTTCGTAATATCTATCCTATGTAGGATGGATGAATGATAGTTGATCGCGCTGTGGCGAATCTAAATCAGATGTAATTCTCTACTGAGCGAACCAGGGTTAATCGGATCCGAACGGACCAAAACAAAGATAGGACAGGAGAGGAGGAGGGTAATAAGAGAGTGGTCAGCAAACTATGGCAATAGGCAGCGAATAATTCAAACGACAGTTTGAAAAGCAAGCGGTGCTGGACAGGCGGGGGTGGGCACATCATGGTTCTAGCGGACACAGCGCGGGTGATAGGCGCGGACACTGTGCGGACACGGGCAGGCACGGGGCAGCCGCGGACGCCAGGTGCCCAGCCGGCCACAGAGGAAGGGCGGCGGCAGCAGCGGGGGGGGGGGGGGGCAGGTGCCGACCGACCGGCCGTCTGCAGTCTGTCCCTCCCTCCCTCCCCCCTCCCACCTCCAGCTGGATCCGTCCGCCACCGGACGCCACAGAGGGGGAGAGGGAGGGAGGGGGGAAGGAGAGGGATGGAGATAATGGAGAGCGTGGCAGGCTCGATAGAATGGGCTGGACTTGAGTGCGGCAGAGTTTTGTAATACAGTTTGGATATATGCACTTTCTGTCACGGTTTATGGTGATTGGTCGCAAGCTTGCTGACGCTATACCATAACAGTTCGAAAAAGTTTTATGCCCATAATTCAAAGGAAAACTGACGTTGATGTCAAAACAATTGCTATTTCTTTTGGAAGTAAGCCTTGTACCACTTATTTTTCAAGATAAACGAACTGATGTGGAGCGACGATCTACCGTTACCCGATCGATCAATCGCCGACCCTGTCCTTTTATTGTTCAAATGTCTTATCCAGTAGCGCTGTGGTAAACATCCTCGTTCACGATAGCCGTATGGGAACAAACAGTGGCCTACCGATAAGTGCGGCCAACCTTTTGAGGAACCGTTATCAAGTGGATATGCTCCTCTGTTTTGGCACCTCAGCTGCTGCTGGAATACTGAAGATGCCGTCCTGTCCTGTTTTGGCACTTCTTGTTCCTGGTATGCTGAGAAGTGAGATCGCCGTCATCTTGTTTGGCTTCCCTGTCCTCTGATTCTGCTCACATACAGCTCGCAGTATTATGTCCTTATATGAGGCGGCTGGCACTATTCGCCTTGACCACCTTGAGCCCCTGGCAACTACAGCTGAATCATGATAAGTTAGGCTCACCGGATAACAATTTTTCCTGTTATTTTAACGTAGCGCTGTTGACTCAATCGAATCCGAAGCCGCTTTATACTTCAAGGGCAATTTTCATGCCCTTGACCCCTTCAACAGATTTTAGTTTCGAAATGTCTGAACTCCAATTTCCAGCGGCCATTTTCTGGCCTTTCTTCCAGCCAAGCCGGGAACCCCAGCCTCCTCCCAGCCGTCTGACCTCCCAGGCCCCTCTCAGCCGCATGACCTTCCAGTCACCCCTCTTATGCAGCTCTCTGAGTGACCTCTGAGCCCCGGTCAGCCGCGTCTGACCGTGGCCGGACCGTTTCGCCCGCCGGCCGGACCACGCCCGGTGTCCGGGCTACATTGATTACCCAGTCGGGCGTCTCAGTGCGGCACGATCAATACTAAACCGCCACGGGACCCGTCACCATACAGCGGGACGACATGGGAAAAGGTATCAGTAGGAAAAAAGACAATATTGACATTTAACTGAAACCTTTTATCTTCTCATTTTTTTTACCTGATAACCTTTTAATCAGATCATGCTGCTGTTTTACTGCCATCGAGTCATATTTGGCATGATAAGGTATTATCTGCCACCAGTTCCTAAGTATCACATTGCGTGCTCTTTTTCAAACAACAAAGAGTGGCTGTAGAGCTTAATTGCTAGCATGCTGAAACTAAGGCATCCCCTGTTTTAAAAAAGGATTTATGACGTTTAAAATATTTACTTGCACTGGGAGTTGGCTCACCGACAGCATGCAGAGAGGTTAATCCCCTTCAAAAATAGATCTGTAGCTGGCACGCGGACTCTATCTATCGAACCTGTAATATAACCGGCTTCAATAGAAATCCGTCCTGTGCCGAAAGGAAACCGTTCACACGTCATCATATCCTCGTCATTTCAATAGCAATGGATTCAAAGTTATTAAAAAGCATACTTATCTCACGCAATAAAAAAGCAGTGAAGAGGCACACAGCGGAATAATACTCCGTCATAACCGTTCGGATCAAAGCTATTTTCTCCTAACGTGACACTATGTTTTCTCGTCCACAGCGGGAATGTATCTCGGTCCACCTCGGCCAGGCTGGTTGCCAGATGGGCAACGCCTGCTGGGAGCTCTACTGCCTCGAGCACGGCATCCAGCCCGACGGCCAGATGCCCTCTGACAAAACCATCGGAGGCGGCGACGACAGCTTCAACACCTTCTTCGCAGAGACCGGCGCCGGCAAGCATGTGCCACGAGCCGTGTTTGTCGACCTGGAGCCCAGCGTGGTCGGTAGGTACTAGGTGATGATCTATGTTCAAATAATTATTCGAGTTGAGTTTCGCTTTCTTCCGTGAATAAGGTGAGCAGAATTATGTGACCTACCTTCTTACTTCAATGGGCCATCTTCACACCAGACTTTGTGCACTGTAATCACGTTCTTCTGACCACTGTCTACCCGTATCCCTCAGATGAGGTGCGCACGGGCACCTACCGCCAGCTCTTCCACCCTGAGCAGCTCATCACCGGAAAGGAGGACGCGGCTAACAACTACGCCCGCGGCCACTACACCATCGGCAAGGAGATTGTCGACATCGTGCTGGACAGGATCAGGAAGCTGGCCGACCAGTGCACAGGTTAGGGTTTCTGACGGAGGAGAGGATTGTGAGCTTCTCGCCAGATGAGGATGTTTGAAGTTGACGTTGACTTTAACATACACCAAAGTTGACTAGCAGGAGACATTGGTGATGATCCGAAGTGCTTAACACCTCTTGGTGTGTGTAAGGCGTGTCAAGAGTAGCAACAAAGTGAACTTACAACATTTCGTTTTGTTTCCAGGTCTGCAGGGTTTCCTGATCTTCCACTCGTTCGGCGGCGGCACCGGCTCCGGCTTCACCTCGCTGCTGATGGAGCGTCTCAGCGTCGACTACGGCAAGAAGTCGAAGCTGGAGTTCGCCATCTACCCGGCTCCGCAGGTGGCCACGGCAGTGGTGGAGCCGTACAACTCCATCCTGACTACCCACACCACCCTGGAGCACTCGGACTGCGCCTTCATGGTCGACAACGAGGCCATCTACGACATCTGCCGCCGCAACCTGGACATCGAGCGCCCGACGTACACCAATCTGAACCGCCTGATCGGCCAGATCGTCTCCTCCATCACGGCCTCGCTGCGCTTCGACGGCGCCCTGAACGTGGACCTGACCGAGTTCCAGACGAACCTGGTGCCGTACCCGCGCATCCACTTCCCTCTTGCCACGTATGCTCCGGTCATCTCCGCCGAGAAGGCCTACCACGAGCAGCTCTCAGTCGCTGAGATCACCAACGCCTGCTTCGAGCCGGCCAACCAGATGGTCAAGTGCGACCCGCGCCACGGCAAGTACATGGCCTGCTGCATGCTGTACCGCGGTGATGTCGTGCCCAAGGACGTCAACGCCGCCATCGCGGCCATCAAGACCAAGAGGACCATCCAGTTCGTCGACTGGTGTCCGACCGGCTTCAAGGTCGGCATCAACTACCAGCCACCGACCGTGGTGCCCGGCGGCGACCTGGCCAAGGTGCAGCGTGCCGTCTGCATGCTGTCCAACACCACCGCCATCGCCGAGGCCTGGGCGCGCCTGGACCACAAGTTCGACCTGATGTACGCCAAGCGCGCCTTCGTGCACTGGTACGTCGGCGAGGGCATGGAGGAGGGCGAGTTCTCCGAGGCGCGCGAGGATCTGGCCGCGCTGGAGAAGGATTACGAGGAGGTTGGAGTCGACTCCGTGGAGGGCGAGGGAGAGGATGAGGAGTACTAGTCAGCTCGTGACTCTACCAGGAACAGCCTGGTGAGACCACCAGTATCTGGTGTCCAGCCCAAGTGACGATCCACATGACGACGAAAGAACATGCCGCCCGAATTGGCTTCAGCTATCGAATCACCGTGCCTAGGGGTGCCGGTGATTCTTGGCGAATACCATTCCACCCATGGACGTACCTTTTGAAGCTTGTGTCTTGACTGAGACGTATTGCGAAATGCGAATTGACATCAGACGAAAACCGAATCGCTTATCCATACGTCTGTAGCACGATCGAAATGTTCCTTTTCAGTGTCTGATATACTCGTACGACAGCCACAAAGCGCTACAGAGCGAGCTGTGACGATTCATGTACTTACTCTACATCGTCGGGTAGGTGACGTGTGGAGATTTTTCAGCTTTTGCACCGCAGTTGTGCCGGGGCGGCTTAGGATGCTGCTCAGGCCCATCGCCGCGCGAGGAACACGTTGCACATTCCCTGTCGAGATGACATTGTCAATACACTGGCAGCACCCCGGCTATCGGTCTTTTCATCATTTAGGTATTCACAACGGTAATCCGACCATGTTGATTTCCGACCATGTTGATTACGGAGCGAGCGAAGCGAGCGTAGTCTTTCCTTAGATTAACGGAAATTTCTGAGTATGAGCGGCCGGCCGGCCGGCCGGCCGTGGTCACGCTTTTGCGAGGCTTATATCTCAGCAACCACTTGACCGATTTACACGCGGTAATTTTTGTAGGGTAGCTTCATTCCTTCTACCAAGTATTGGACTATTCCCGATGCATGTGGGTGACCCCTTATGCACGTGCCACGTGCAAAACGAAGAGGTGTCACTTTTGTAATTGTTGCAATATCTCGGTAACTACTTGGCCGATTGCGCTGAAAGTTGGCATGCAGGTAGGCACCCACTAGGCACTGCATACCCATGTGCCAGAGTTGGGGTGCTGCTGCACGTGCGCACGTGCAGGGGTCGTTTCCAGATCTCGAGAACGGCTGGACCGATTGCGCTCAAATTTGGTACACGGTTAGGGACCAGTTAGTAGGGTGCCGTGCACAAGTCAGTTGGGACCCATTTTGCACGTGCGCACGTGCAGGGTGCCGCTTCCAGATATCGAGAACGGCTGGGCCGATTGTGCTCAAATTTGGCACATCGCTAGAGACCGGTTAGTAGGGTGCCGTGCACAAGTCAGTTGGAGGTATCCCCTCGAAATTTCGCACGTGCAAGGCTCACCCTCTCGCTCGCTCCGTTACTCGCCTCAAAAGGCGTTATACTGGTTTATTGATGTAATTGTAGACAATATCAAAACGGGAGATGAGGGAATGAGGGGAGACATTTGGCTCATTCAACCATCTATTGATGTACGAGTATGTAAGTACCACAGTGGCTGCGTCCGCACAGCAATGAGAGTGCCCGGTGGGACAGACCACTCAGCGACTCAAATCGTCATCCCGCACAGTTTTGTTCCTATAAGAGCTGTCCGTACCGAACACATGGAAGGGATGACTATTAGCCTGGAACAAGGAAGCCCAACAAAGGATGCATATAGGCAGGCTGCTCCGGAGGATAAAAGGCGAATGGCTTCAGTGATTGAGGTGCGAGGATCAATTGCAGGAATTGGCATGTGGTAAGTGGAAGGTCAGACGCTCGTTGTATTGGCATGGGAAGGAAAATGTCCTTGTGAATCGCGATAATGACGAACATACCACGATAGCTTGCTGATTTGACCTATTCATTTGAGGCTTTTTATATTTATCCCGTTGGGCCACTGCGCATGATAAAAGTTTGAAACGTGAGAGGCCAGGCGCTTGCAAACCATACATTACAAAATTGAACGATAAGTAGCTATACAGCAACGTGAAGAAATAAAAAATACAGCAATTATAAGAGTATCGTGCACTATCAACTACTTACGGAATCGAGAGGTTTTACATCTGAAATAAAGTTGAAACTTTCAACTATGATATGCACCGTCTACATATCTGTTAATCTATTCTGATCAACAGAACCGAAATCACCTGAATTAAGACCTCGAAAGTAATTCTGCCAGGAGCAGAATTACTTTCGAGCAGCGGAGCAGTCAGGCTGGTTCAGGCAGGACAAGAGTGATAGGGTAATACCGCGTCTAAAGCACCATTGTGGGACCGTGACTTCACTGCATGAGATCACTAGAAAAATAGTCACCTTGGGATTCGCGGAAACCAGCCGTTGTAAACACTGTTAGCGTTCGTATTCACACGAATGGTTTATAAGGAAATGTGATAAAGGGTCCCATACATTGACCATTACAGGTAATGAAAATTAGCGGTCCAAGTGGCTTAGTAAGACCACAAAAACCTTATTCAAGGCACCGCCACAGACATTCGGATGAGCTGTGGCCTGTGAGTCATACATCTCTGAAATCTAACCGAATTTCGCACTTAATACGCCAACGAGATGGACATACCTATTTCAGTGAATTCACTGCAGAAATGTCATGCTAATGTATGAATAAAAAATGCGTGTTTTAATCCATCCCATCAAACTCTCCCAAGTCAAGACAACGCTGAACGCATTTCACGACGGCCATCTGGTACACATTTGGTGCACATCTGGTGCAGATTAGGTGCAGATTTGGTCAAATTAGGTTCAGTGTGTCTCTTAGTAGCTATCAGCTAGGGTTGTACTAATTGCTTTATGCATGCTTTGTCATATTATCAGAGAGCATCATCGATTAAAACACTGAAATAAATTCATAAAATAAAGATATTTGCTGTAAAAGAGATTAGGTGCAGATTTGGTCAAATTAGGTGCACTCGCCGGGTAGCCCGTCATGAAAGCGGTTAATGCTTCTAATGCATCGCCGTCCCGTTCGGAGCATCGCCGGAAACATTGCCGCCGGTATTGTATTTCTGTATATAATATGCCCGCAAACCGTTTCTATATGAGTCGTGACAAATAAATACCAATGAGGGCATGACGAGTGTGGGTTCTGTCAGTCGTTATCGTTTGAGACGAATCGCCGTCATGGTTCTACATAGGTATGCCAAGTATGGAAAACATAGCCCGGTGAAGGACTGCTCCGGTTGTTTTTCAATAGAAAAACACTAATTCTAACGAATAGTGTTTGTCTATTTCAAACAACCTGCGGTTACCTACAGACCGGGACGGTCGACAGACAGTTCCTATGGTACTGGTCGGATAAGGCAGTCCTTTTGGTGCCAGGTGGGACCGGTGCTGCTGGATCAATTTCAGAGTCCAAATGGTGTCAGGATATCAGTTTGGACCGTGACGATAATTCATATCTCGCTGATGAGCTGCGAAAGGGCTGAATGGGTTAATAGCGGACCGCGATTTATAATGACCGCTGTTAACCGTGTGATAAAGGAAGACTGGATAGAACCTACCGATGTTTGCTTTGTATGAAGCTTTTATTTGTATCAATATTTAGTTAGCGGCTTACAGACAGGCCAATCAATATCTTCAAAATGTCCTACAGCTAACTATTGCTGTTGTACATGGCATTCTTTTCACTCTTCCTCATTCACTCACTCATTCTTCTAAGCCTAAGAAAAAAAAAACAATATATAATCATTCTATACTCCTTTGTATTGGGCGTCAGCCATCGGCCCTCATTTCCAGCGCCAGACACCGACAACAGGGCACCGATAGCTATTTCATGTGCCACAGATTCCGGACGGCCTGTCACTGGCACTAGATTTGTTACATCGATATGTGACGATGTGCATCACCTAACGGGAAAGTGACGTGACGGACGCGTCACGGTGTCTGCCGGAGCAGGGCGTGACGGGACCAACTCCGCTGCATATATCATAGCGGCGTGATTTATCGATAAACATCGGTGGAGCCTGGTGACAGGTGGCGCAGTCATGGGAACAAACAGTGAGAGTCGTTGCCATTAGCTTTTTCTTTTTTTAATATAATTTGAACTCTCTTTCTCCCTCTCTCTCTCTCTCTCTCTCTCTCTCTCTCCCTCTCTCTCCTCCGACTTCCTCTCATTTTGACAACAGTTTTCAGGTCTTACACTCTCTCTCCATAGAAGTTCATACGTCAGCTGAAGGTAAGGTCCTGTGTTTTACCAAATAGCCACGAGTCCGACTCCGAGAGCCGCGGAATGGCCGCGGTCTGATACTAGCGCGTGCACCGAAGCAGTTTCTCTTTGGCTGTCGACCGCAGATATTCTTCAGCGAATTGGGCGACCATGAACGGCTGAAAAAGAACGCACTCATCCTGCACCGCACTGCCGAGCACGATACTAAATTTCTATTGCGGCGGGCCGGGTCGGCGGAAACAATCGATTCGTCTTCTGTGATCTGATCGAATATGGTGCAACAATGCTCATTGTGAATTATGTCGGGAAATAATGAGATCGTGTGCACATATCAAAGGTTTTCTTTTATGAGCCTTCATGCATAAACCTATCAAAATTTTAATTTTTAGCTGCAATATCGTTACTCGATCTCATGAGCAACTTATATCCCTTCAGTCCACGCGGTCACCAGCCAAAGCCCGCTGCTCCTGAGGGAGCGCACCCCGTAGCCGGGTGCAGTGAGTGCCTTGGGTCTGGGTGGCCTGTCCTCTGGACGGGCTCAGCCCCGGCGACTCACTAGGGTGCCTGCCCAGACCAATGTCTCCCCCTAATTCCTATCATCCTTCCGGCTCTGCAATGGTCTTGTCGACCGAAAGGGCCTAACCCAACAAAACAAACAAAACAAAAAGCCAAAGCCCCACCGTATGCTGCCTGTAGGTATGTATGTAAGTACAGCCCACCGCTAAAGTAACATAGGGTTACTTTTACCAATCTCGACGGTTGGCTTTGACTGGCGATTATTTAATGCGGAGTGATCGAAAAGAAGATGTCAATAGCTAAAGTTGCAGCTGCAAGGGTGACGATACATATAAGCTATAGCTTATATGTATCGTGTGTATGTATACATTAATGTATACATTCAAAGTTTCATTGTAGTCTGGCTAATCGTTCCTAAGCTTCAGAAGCAGAACATACCCATGACTGAAACCCCACATTACTTCTGCTGTGGACTGTACCTCTGCCTACCACATATCGGTAGTACCTATGTCGTCCCATCAGTCGCA